AAAGATAAAAACTAGCTACCAAACCCTCTCCGACTAATAATCGCTTTAATAAATTAAACAGAATACATTGACGATTTAATAAAATTCGTTTAATCTTCCTTCTGTTTGAGCTTGCAACTACTCAATTTTACCATAACTGTGTAAAATCCACGGTCCACTAACAATGAACCAACGTCACAGATAAAGTTCCAGAAAGACAATTATTTGCTTATATATATATATATATATTTAACAATGACCAGTGTTTACAGAAGAAGTTCAGAATTTATATTCCAGCAACCGTGCTCGCTCGCGCGTATTAAAGTTATAGTTGTAACATTACGGTCCCTTGTCTTGCCGGAGCACAACAGCTGAATTTTATTTCACCATTGAGGAGAAACTTAACAACCTGTGAAGGCGAACAACAGGCGAAGTGTAAAACGCCGTGTAGAAACAGACGAAAAATTTATAAGCTATAAGATTATGATTCCACGAGCATCTTTATTTCTACCAGCGCCGAATGGTAATGCTATCTCCTCGTATCCGTTTGTATCCCCGGGTTCAAACACAGTATCGCTCTGCTCGGTGCTTCCGTTAGAATGATAGGGCATTGTGGTGTCAGGGGAGTTTACTGTCATAGGAAATTTGTGGCTCGCAAGCGTACGGCGGATATCTCTGTTTCGAAACCACGTAAACATTTCAGTAGCGGAACCAACTTTGAAACAAGTAATTTGGATCCGATATTACCGGGAGTTGATAATGATGACTGGACGGGGAATCTTTGTGCGAAACAAAATTTCGCTGGAATTTACCGTAATTGAAATTAAACGATAGTCTGTTTTCCATTACGATTACTTTTGCACATTGTTACGGCAGAAACGCGTTATCCTATTTAAACCGAGAAAGATAACCTACGTCGCAGAGGCGCCTGCGAAGACTGTTGATTTTTGTTAATTTTTCATAGAGGTCTAGTGATTTAAGTTTAAAATTACTTAAAATATAAAAAAATATAATATAAATGCATTTTATTTTTACAATAATGCCAAACCTTTAAAATGACTAGATTAACTTAAATAAATATCCATTGTTAGTATAAAATTGACGCGCCTTAGAAAAGCATGCGCCTCTGAAGCGTATGGTTATCTTTTACGTACGTTGTCATATGGTTATCTTTCTAGGGTTAATCGTGCTTCATACTGCATTGTGTTTCTCGTGTCTGTAATTAATTTCAAGTAGATGAAATCGATTTTCTGATAAATCTGACGATATTAATTGTTAAGTTGTAATTATGTAACATAATGGTCGGAGAAAGAGTTTCTGGCAAGAAAATCGGTATTCGATGTTCACTTTTCTTGATTCTTCTCGAAATTATGTTGAACTGTAATGTTTTTATTCGTTAGGTACAGTAGCTTACGAAAGTATTCGAATATCTTTATTAAAGTATTCGCAATAACTTGTTTCAAACTGTACTAAATGACTTGAATTTTTTTTAGATGATAGAGGGACTAATCCACGAGACAATAACTGAAATGCATTTTCTTAATTTTGCTCTTACCTCTAATGACAAAAAAAAGTAAAAGGATCTCGTTCTTTAACTTTTTTTATCTGAGCTTATAACAAACATTTAGAAACTATCTTTCCAAGATCTCGGTAACTCATGTGCATGCTGAAAATTTTATCGAAATCGGTTAACCCAGAGTCAAGCTACAGACGTTGAAAGATTTTAAAAAACTGCAGATTTCTTATAGCTTTTGGTCAAAAGTGTCAAAAATCGAGACAAAATTTAGCGATCTTTACTTATTTGTAACTGGTAACAACGTCAACCAATTTCGATAAAATTTTTAGCATGCATATAAATTACCGACATCTACGAGAGACATTTTTTAAATTTTTGTCGCAGGCTTGATAAAAAAGTTAAAAAATGGAAGTCTTTTAACATTTTTTGTCATTTCAAATAGAACAAAATTAACGAAAAGCATTTCAGTTATTGTCTCGTGGATTAGTTCCACTATCATTTAAAAAACAAAATTGAGTCATTTTTAGTTCAGTTTTAAAGAAGTTATTGCTTTTTAAAAGGTGTTCGAATACTTTCGTGAGCTATTGTATATATGTCGAATAAAGTTCGCACTAAATTCATTTCTGTGAACGAATTTTATTATAATTTTGCAAGATGTAGACACAAAAATGACGTATAGCAAAACTTCTTTTGTTAAAGTTAATTATAACATGCATTAGGAATTTCACTCCTGTATTTATAGAACTAAAATTATTAGACATATAGGTTGTAATTGTTCAGCTTCTCATTACTATAGAAATTGGCCCTTATTTTAATATCTGAAAAACTTACTTAGAGTTTTGAAACGGAAGCTGTTAAAGCGTGGTTCAACTTCCGGGGCGCACAATTTAAACTCCATTCTAACTGACAAAGCACACTGTGCTATTCATACATGAACCGCATGCGTAACACATGCATACGCTTTAATATGTATAATTTGTTTGATAATGACGACTAGACGGGGATATTTTGTGCGAAACAAAGTTTCACTAGAATTTAGTGTAATTGAAATTAAACGATCGTCCTAGATTCCTATTACGATTATTTTTGCACGTTGTTACCGTAGAAAAGCGTTATCCTAATCAATCGTGCTTTATACTGCACATTGTGTTTCTCGTATCTGTAATTAATTGAAAGTAGATGAAATCAATTTTGCAGATAAATCTGACGATATTAATTTGGTTTCGAATGCAAATACGAAGATCTTGTGAATATTTACTTAATATTTAGAATATTTAAGAAGAAATATATAATCATCGTTTTTCTGTTTAGATTGGGCTATTAAACTTAAATGGTATTTAATTAAACTTTACGCAATACTGTTCGAGGTAACGATAGTAACGAATTATAGAAATCTGGATAGTTCTGTTTTTGTAAATATATATATATTTATTTATTATTTTGATATTTTTTTGCAGCCCAAATTAAACTTTTTGCAAGTTAAATCCATCTTATTGTAAATCAAATTTACCATATTGCAAATCAAATTCACCATGTTGTAAATCAAATTCACCATATTGCAAATTAAATTTATCATGCTGCAAATTGAATTCACATTTTCACATATTAAATTCACTTGTTTGCAAATTAAGTTCCTCTACTACTTTTAGTGACTCGATGTAATCAATTTATCAATTACTCGCCTTGTTTTCACTTTCGAGTAAACCATAAGGTGAATTCGATTTGTAAAAGCATAAATTTGACCCGAAAAGGATGTATGTTCCAAAGCGTCCTGAATGGATTCTAAAATCCAGATATTTTGTTACTTGTAGTATTCTTTTACAGACTTCCATTTTGTAATATTCCGGAAAATTTTGTAAAGTTCGATACTGGACCTCGTACAAAATATTTGCTCATGCGTACAGTAAGAAGGCTCAACGTTATCTAGACAAAGAAAAATTGTTGACTATGCTAACATTTTAATCCAGCAGTTAGCACTGACGTCTACGTTGTCGCCATTAGTTTAAGTCCGTCTGCAAACAAGAAGTGTTTACGCTAAACTGATGACGATAATTGTAAACAGAAAACTTAGATATTGGGTGAGTCACGTGACTCACTGAGTCATGTGAGTCACTCTAAATAACTTTTAAATTATGTTTTTTTTTATGGAAGATGATTATGTTATGTCCCCTAAGAAGGGACGTTTATGAACCTCTAAAATCCAAAAACCATGGAACTTTGTACACAAGTGGAGTAAGTTATGTTTGATACAATTACTTTTTTTACTAATATGCGGTTTAAAAAATTTTAATATTTTCTTTTTCTTAAAAAAGAAGTTGAAATAAAGATTATATATTGTTTTATCATGTTTGAAAAACCATGCAAAGATTTCTTGTATGTAACTTAATTTTAAGTTTAATATCGAATTTTAAACAATCTTTTTGTAACACTTATGTAGACACAATAAAACGATGCAATCTTCAACTTTCAACTTTTCTTAAATATTAGTATCTGCTATTTCTGAGATATTTAAATCGCTGTTTTCACCCTTTTAAGAACACTTATTTTAGTCGTGCGCAAAGTTTCATAATCTTTTTATTTCTGAGAGTTCATTTGTGTACAAGCGGTGAAATAGTCAATTACGATATGCAAGTTGCTCACGCTGTATCTCTGTATATTACTCACGAAAACTGTAATTACTCGACTATACAGGGTTCCCCGGAAAGAATCATCCGATTTGAAAAATTTATATTTGAAAAAATTACACACAGAAAATTATAATTCAAACACGAATATAACGGGAACATGTGTGAGTTTTTGTCTACAAGTGTTCAATATGACTTCCTTTCGTTACACGTATGATATCATAGCGATATGAAAGTTCTTGCCAAACACGGTGTAATGTATCTCTGGTAATTGCTTGTACAGCATCACAAATGCGTTTTTTTCAGTTCATTTACACCTGTAGGTAAAGGTGGTACAAAGACAAGATCCTTCACAAATCCCCAAAGGAAGAAATCGCATGGGGTTAGGTCAGGGGTGATCTCGGTGGTACATGAGAAAAAAATAATAAAAAGTAAAACTCGCACATTTTCCCGTTATATTCGCGTTAGAATTATAATTTTCCGTGTGTAATTTTTTAAAATATAAATTTTTCAAATCGGATGATTCTTTCCGGGGAACCCTGTATTTATAAAAGTCAGCAAAATTGCACAGCGTCGTCTCTTCATCTCTAACCGTACATGATCCATGCTGCACCCGGATCCGACCAGACCCAGAATTTGCTAGTTAAGGGTGAGACAGACCGGTGTCGCGCAGGGGATCCGGTGTTTTGCTGCGAAGTTCGGCAGCGATTCAGAGGTGTGACTTACACTTACTATGATTTGCAATGCGTACGCAGGCCGTGTTTTACCTACTGATTCGTCAGCCGTTTTCGTATTCAGCGTCGCACCCCGTGGAGGGCGCACGCGCGAATCACGTCGGGGTTTCGTGTCCAAGAGCGTCGGCCGTCAGTTGCGTCCCGACGCCGACGTCGACGGGGTGGTTTTCCCTAGCGTCCCGAGGACTCGCTTGCGTCTGACGTTGCTCACGCCGCCATGTGACCGCGGATCTGCGACACACCGTCGAATCATGGACCATTTCGAATTGATGCTTTCCACACGATCTTGTCACGCAACGTCAACCCTCTAGCTTCGATCCAAAGCTGAAACGAACTCTTAAGCGATCTCGAACGTTTTCGGACCATTTTTAGAACAGTAGAACCGTCTGCGACTCGAGGGAACGCTTCGGACACAAATTTTGCGGTGCTGTTAGTTATCGTTCGTTCGCGCGAATCATGCGAACGCAGTAAAAGCGAACGATGCTTTCGCGCGTAAAAGAAAAGTGAGTAGGTTCGCCGGAGCCAGCTCACCGCCGCGGCGTTAGGGGCAGAAAAACGGAGGCGAGTGGTGCGTTTTTTGCGCGCATGATTACACCGGTGCGTGATGTTATTTTGTGAAACAATGCGGCGGGATGTTGGATACCATAATTTGCTGCGGTGCAAGTTCTTCATGCTGCTGGTGCTCGTCGGCTGCAGCGATGGATATTTGAACATCTTTATCAGCAAGTCCCAGGTCATGAAACTGCTCGGTGAGTTTTCGGAACTTTTTAACCCTTGTTTACAGCGTGCTGGATCGTTTCAGCGCGCCAGTGGGAGCAAATAATACGGTTGACGATTTCATGGGGCATATGGAACGAGAGACGCGATGAACATTTTCGTTCTCCTGGCGAATTATCGTACGCGGCGATTTTTAACCAGGTTGTAACATGTGCTGAGCTTGTGCGGGTGTTTGACATAATTTGATCGAAGAGAGTTAGTGTTCTAGCGACGATGTTTTTACTGGGGAGGACGAAAAGAGTTAGGATATTTGAAAATGTACTACGTTTGAACGATATGAGATCGACACTTAATTTCGGTAGATATAGATTACGAATTTTGTAGCTTTGTAAAATTTGTTGGAAAGAATTCATTGGATTTGTTACGAAATTTCAAGTGTGGAGATTTAATAACTATTTGAAAAGCACGTGGGTGACAGAGAGAATGTTAAATTAGTTATAGGGAAAGAAAAATTGTATGCGGGTGTTCAATGTTTGTTTTAATATAATCGGTTTATCCTAATTTATGAAA